GAAGTTTTGTGGTTGAATAGTATCGCTATCGTCTTGCGTGTTAAGCTCTCGCATAACGTTTTCATAGAGTCCTAGTTCAATCAATTGTGTTCTCAGATTATCGTCAAGTTTCTTATTTTCGGGAAAGATCTCCTCCATTGGTTGGATCAGGTTGAGAGATGCATCAGGTACTTTAGCTGTCGTGTCGATTTGAATCTCTCGTACCGGAATTTTGTCCGTTAGTTTCAGGGAGAGAGAAGCTGATGGGTCTGTTTGCATTCGTGAGAGAAAATCTGCTGCATAATTTGCTTTTCCAGGTATATGCGCGATGATGATGTTAAATGCCATGACTCGATCCAAGAAATTCCAAACTGATGGTGGAATGGTTTTTGCTTGAAAAAACTGTGTCAGGCTCCGATTATCAGTCAGTATTATCACTGGTTTGGATGATCCCCAAGTGAAATGAGAGAAATGATCGAGAGCAAAATATAGAGCTAAGAACTCTTTGTAGTATATGGAGAACTTCAGTTGTGCTGTATTGAAGAGTCATGAACCAAAAGACACTGGTGCATACGTTTTCATTTCACCTTTGTTGTCAGTCTTCACATAGTCTTCAACCATGAGCACAAAACCGGTTCCATGATAGCTTGCGTCACAGAGTATTACGTATTGTAGTCCTGGTTTTGGTAACCGAAGTGTTATGTCTGTTGCTTGTATCAGATCATACTTGAGCACATCAAGACTTTTATGGTGCTCTTCATCTGTTTGAAAAGCAACATCTTTTCTGAGAAGTCGATAAAAAGGTATCAGTTTTTCTCCTAGGCTTGGCATATAGTTGCGAAAAAACTGTACAAAACCGATTAATCGTTTAACTTGTTTAACCGTTTGTGGCATTTTAATTTTCTTTAAGAACGTGGAAATTTTCTCTTGTTCCGGTGACACTCCTGCTGGTGTGATTATGTTACCCAGGAACTTCAGTCTTTGTGTTCCGATCTCACATTTGTTCGGCGACAATTTAAGTCCTGACTTCCGTACACATTCGAATATTTTCGAAAGGGTCGGTATCATTTCATCGAAGTTATACACAGCGCTCCCTATGTCATCCATGAATTTTGTACATAGGTCCGCAGCTAAGCATGGATCAAGGTAGTGTCGGATAAATGAACTAAATCCTGTTACTGATTTACTTAGACCTTGAGCCAGGCATTTGTATGCGTAAGTTCGTGAACCGAAGTTAAATGCCAAAAGTTGGACTGAAAGGTCATCTGCCATTTGCACACAGTGGTATGCTTGTGAGCAATCAAGTTTGGTAAACAAGCTCTTTCCTGCGAAGTGGTTCAAAGCATCGGTCATGTTTGAGATCGGAAAGTTGCTGTTGATATAGTCATTCTTGAGTGAATGGTTTATCCTTCTGAGGTCAATCAACATCCGCAATTTACCAGATGGCTTTCGATGTGCAAATAGTGGACTACTGTATTTAGAATGTGACAATGTTGTTATAAGTCCATAATAGTGCATAAGGGCAAGTTCCACTGTCAATTCGTGTCGCAAATGTATCGGCGTAGGTGGTCCTTGTGTATACAGAGGTCGCGTGTGTTCCGGTTTTAGTTTGATTTTGAGGTCTGAATTGTACCCAACATCGAATCTATGTTTGGCAAAGATGTCCGAAAAGTCAACAAGCAAATCTTCTACTTTTGACTTTTGGTCTTCTGTCAACACTGAATTCTCCCACTTAAAGTTCTTGATAAATGTCAATCGATCTTGACATTTCGTTTTCGGTTCAAGTTTTTCAAGACCTTGAAAATGAAGAAATTGGTCGTAAATGTCGCGTTGGATTTGAGGAAGTAATTCAGGGTTTTGACATGTTTCAGGCGTAGGAAACCAAAATTTTTCATACTCAGGTTCATGCTTCATTTGGGGCTGCTGACTATCACACGATTGTTGAATTAGCTCATTAATGCCCATTTCAATATCGTCCGGGTGGTTCATTTTTGCAAATGCAATCATTTCAGGTTCGATGGGGAATAAATTTTGTGCTTCTTTCAGAGTCAGAATTGAAAATTTCCCAATTTCGGTTTTGAAAGGCAAAGTAATGTGATGATCGGTGATGTTAAACGCTGTGATATACAACAGGTTGTTTTTCAGCACTTCGCTTATTGAAGAAGTGAACGCAATTTCACAGTTTTCTTCAAATTCCTGAGCTGGAATCACGATTCCGGTAGTTTTTTCCATGTCTTGACATGTGTTCTCTAGCTGGCATTCTACAAGAATTGTCTGTTGCTTGTATCAGATCATACTTGAGCACATCAAGACTTTTATGGTGCTCTTCATCTGTTTGAAAAGCAACATCTTTTCTGAGAAGTCGATAAAAAGGTATCAGTTTTTCTCCTAGGCTTGGCATATAGTTGCGAAAAAACTGTACAAAACCGATTAATCGTTTAACTTGTTTAACCGTTTGTGGCATTTTAATTTTCTTTAAGAACGTGGAAATTTTCTCTTGTTCCGGTGACACTCCTGCTGGTGTGATTATGTTACCCAGGAACTTCAGTCTTTGTGTTCCGATCTCACATTTGTTCGGCGACAATTTAAGTCCTGACTTCCGTACACATTCGAATATTTTCGAAAGGGTCGGTATCATTTCATCGAAGTTATACACAGCGCTCCCTATGTCATCCATGAATTTTGTACATAGGTCCGCAGCTAAGCATGGATCAAGGTAGTGTCGGATAAATGAACTAAATCCTGTTACTGATTTACTTAGACCTTGAGCCAGGCATTTGTATGCGTAAGTTCGTGAACCGAAGTTAAATGCCAAAAGTTGGACTGAAAGGTCATCTGCCATTTGCACACAGTGGTATGCTTGTGAGCAATCAAGTTTGGTAAACAAGCTCTTTCCTGCGAAGTGGTTCAAAGCATCGGTCATGTTTGAGATCGGAAAGTTGCTGTTGATATAGTCATTCTTGAGTGAATGGTTTATCCTTCTGAGGTCAATCAACATCCGCAATTTACCAGATGGCTTTCGATGTGCAAATAGTGGACTACTGTATTTAGAATGTGACAATGTTGTTATAAGTCCATAATAGTGCATAAGGGCAAGTTCCACTGTCAATTCGTGTCGCAAATGTATCGGCGTAGGTGGTCCTTGTGTATACAGAGGTCGCGTGTGTTCCGGTTTTAGTTTGATTTTGAGGTCTGAATTGTACCCAACATCGAACCTATGTTTGGCAAGGATGTCCGAAAAGTCAACAAGCAAATCTTCTACTTTTGACTTTTGGTCTTCTGTCAACACTGAATTCTCCCACTTAAAGTTCTTGATAAATGTCAATCGATCTTGACATTTCGTTTTCGGTTCAAGTTTTTCAAGACCTTGAAAATGAAGAAATTGGTCGTAAATGTCGCGTTGGATTTGAGGAAGTAATTCAGGGTTTTGACATGTTTCAGGCGTAGGAAACCAAAATTTTTCATACTCAGGTTCATGCTTCATTTGGGGCTGCTGACTATCACACGATTGTTGAATTAGCTCATTAATGCCCATTTCAATATCGTCCGGGTGGTTCATTTTTGCAAATGCAATCATTTCAGGTTCGATGGGGAATAAATTTTGTGCTTCTTTCAGAGTCAGAATTGAAAATTTCCCAATTTCGGTTTTGAAAGGCAAAGTAATGTGATGATCGGTGATGTTAAACGCTGTGATATACAACAGGTTGTTTTTCAGCACTTCGCTTATTGAAGAAGTGAACGCAATTTCACAGTTTTCTTCAAATTCCTGAGCTGGAATCACGATTCCGGTAGTTTTTTCCATGTCTTGACATGTGTTCTCTAGCTGGCATTCTACAAGAATTGTCTGATGCGGGGCTATTGTTTGACGTTTTGTCAGAAGCAAAGGGAATTTTTTCACTCTATTGAATCTTCTTGGCTCGTTTAGAGGTTTTATTTCGTTGATTTGAAGGGTCATGTCTTTGAAATGCAGTAGATTATACTTCGGACAGACATGAACATGATGTTTTTTATAGAAAGGATTTCCTAGAATTATTGAATTGGCTGCATGAAGAACGAGAAATGATTCTATAAAGGTCATGTCTGCCGATCGGAATTCTAACGTTACTTCCGTTTCAATGGAGACTTGTTGTCCTCCTGCCATTCTAACTCTTTTCAGTTTGGGTTCATTTACTTCAAGAGGGCGAAATAGCAATTTTTCTTCTTTTAGGTCTTCAAATGTCTGTTTTGAGATAACATTTGCGCAGGCTCCTGTATCGACCAGGGCTCTACGTTGTAATCCCGATGAGAAACGTATTTTCGTGTACGTCAGTACTGTTCCTTCCGCAGGGATTATTGCGTAAAGGCTAAGTATCTCATCAGGTTGGAAAAGTTCGTTAGGTGATGATTTAGGTGATTTCGATGATTTAGGGGGCTGACTCAGTGGCTTTATTAGTTTTTTGGCTCGTTTGGAAACGGGAAGTTTTGTCCGCGTCCTTGTGGTTTCTGTCGCCACCAGCATTGACTTGCTGTGTGGTTAAATTTTCCACAAACGTCACAAAATTTGGCTGATGATCGCACCATTGGTCCAAAAGGTCCGTTGGGATTTTGCGTTTCAGCTTGAGGCATTTGATTTGCGACAAATTGTTGCGTCGGATATTTCTGGGACTGTTGATGGATGCATTTGAACCATTGGCTGTTGATTTTGGTACATGTTTGGGTACTGCTGATTTTGAGTGTACAATTGCGAATATGGCTGTTGTGCAACTGGTGGCATATTGTGAAATTTTGGCTGAGTATTGTTGAAATCAAATTTATTTTGCCAATTATTTCTACGTCTTCCGCCTCTGTTGCCTCGTTGTTGTCCATACCCATTATTTTGGTTTGGCTGATAGCCACTATACTGATCACTCTGACTGTTGTCGTTCCGATTTTGTTCGGGAAGCGGATTCGATTGTTTATTCGACTGCTCAGTTATTTGTGATCTCATTTCGTTAAGCTGCTTCTCCATTTTTTTCTGATTTGTGGACAATTTTGTGATAGCGCTTATTAAATTTTCTGAGACTTTGTCGTTTATTTCGTTAAATCCGTCTTCCGGGTATTCGTCTTTTCGGCAAATCTCACGAATTGTGATTTGCTTCTTGGTCAGGTTGCACAGTTCCTGAACTGTAGTTGCAGGTGGTTGTTCCATCAGCTTCGATCTCAGCCAACCTGGCATTCCCTTAATGAACAGTCGTTTAATTTGTTCATTTCGGTTGTCATGTACAGCATCTATCCTTTCTTGCCTTTGAGCAGTTTCTCGGTGGAATCGTGCTGCTTCTGCTGCTGGAGGTGCTCCAATTATTGCAGGATCAATTGGGGCGACAGCTGGCAAATCTGGTGTCGGATACGCTCGCTGCGCTTTTTTCGTTAAGTTGACCAAGAAATTCTCTGGGGTATCTGTTTTCGGGTTGAATCGCAGTTGTTCTAGATTCAAAACGTGGATTTCTTGAAGTTGGGGGTTGCAAAAGTGATCCCTCAGGGCTATGAGACTCGCGGGAACGTTCGCTCGAGTTGCTGGTCCTAGTGTCTGGTAGAATCGCAGCGCGTTGTCTCGTAGGTGCAGTTGCAAGAAGTTCGCTTGTTGTTCGTTTGGTATCGCTGCTACTCCGATGTAGCCTTGAAAAAGTTGCTCGAATTCTGAAAAGTCTTCTTTTTCCGTTCCTCCATAGGGTTCGACCGAAACTTGCGCGTGTGCCATCGTATTACAATCGAATGAATATCAGGGTGATACATTTGATGATAAGATACAGCACTTATTCAATTTAGGGGGAACACTAGGGAGTTTGTTATATAAATTAGCTGTTAAAGAAGGCTAGCAGTATCACTGATCAGGTTTATTGATGCAATTATATGGTTGTGCTAAAGGTTCCGTTACTTCACTTCTATGGTGGGGAAACTTAATGATAATTATATCAATTTACTGCAGGTTTGAGTTTCGAGTTTTGTTTTAACTAACAGTTTTTGTTGATTGTTGAAAAACCTGTAGATTTGCTTTCTTTGTCTGCCTTGTCAGTAGCTCAGCTGTCCTGCCTTCTGACTGGAACAAGAAGTAGTGATGTTGTAGGTCACAATCCACATCTGCTTCTGTAGATTGGAGAAACTTTCTGCCCGGAGATGTTGAGAAGTTGAGACTGTCTTCTTTTTCTCCCTGTCTGTCTCAGTTGTTCGCTGAAAGTTGTTCTGCTTTCCACATCTGAGCGTTGCTGGGTGAAACGGGTTGTGTTGCCCTGTTCTGTTTCAGCAAAGTGGGGTTGTCGTTGTCAGCTCGTGTGATGAAGATTGCAATTGCCGATGACTTTTGGTGAATCCAGAAGTAGAATCTTCCGCGACAGTCACCATGTGATATATTGTCCCTTCGGATGGCTGTGGACAGCTATATCGTCGTTTATTGATAATGTTGTAAGCTGTTCGAACATTAATTAGCGCTACTGGCTATCAATTGTTATTGATTGTTTCCATAATTTATATGTCTCGAGCGGTTAAGACTTATCTTGCTTTTAAGGACGCAGGATTCGGTTCTTAACTTCTGGAATATCGCTAGTCGATCGGCGCAAGTTAGAGCATGATTCTTATATTTTATTCTCTTCAAGTCTACCCATTGATTAGTAGCTCGGTTTAAATCTCCTATGGTTGGTATTAATTACCATCAATATTTACATAGTTAAATAAATATAAATGTATGAACTTCATTTCATTAACAAGGTTAATTATGTAATCTAATATAGCATAAGAATGCATGACGTCATGTAGTGATGTCACATTACCGTCACAACAACAAAAAAGACACTAATGTTGTATGTTTTGACGTTTAAAAAAATAAAAACAAATATAAGGAAAAGTTGGAAATAGCTTGACTAGGCAGCGAGAGATAATAAGTCAGAAAAAGATTTTAAAAAGATTGAACTTCAAATACAATTTGTGTGACAAGGCTATCGCCTATCTGTTGAATAATCTAGAAAAGCAGGGATTGTTGTTTCGAATTTATTCATCAGGATATATTTTAATTCTGCAGAAAGTTTGATGATAACTGTCGGAGGTTTCAAAGTAAGAAAACCGTATTTTGTAGGCAATTAGTAACTCGAACCAAATGTTTTAAGGCAATATGTTTTTTCTGGAGTGTTTTACAACACGTTAAAAAGACACAATCAAAACTGCAGACTATTTCTGCGCTGTTGTCTGTTTAAATGTGAACACTTTTAAATGTGAAAACTTTTGTTTTGGCAAATATATTGAGACAAAAGTATTTGTCTAAATTTCGGAGGCGGAGCAAAAAGCAGAATGGTCCAAGAGCAGAATGGGTCCAAGAGCAGAAAAACAGAAAAATATTAACTTTTATTGATTAATACGGGTTAATTGATAAAAACAAGTATTATAATCGTCAATAATACCAAGAAACCGAATTTCGTATCTATGTTGTCTTAAGTTTATGGTTCTTTTAAGGTTTGTGGACGCTTTAGATTAGATTTATCTTCTATCCTATCTCATGGAGATGTTTCGAAGCAAGCATGGCCGGCTGCTTGACTCGCTTTTTTTTCGGCGGATAGGTTCATGCAACTATTTAGTCTAATACTGATCTTGCGTTTATTATCAGCTTCTCTAAAAATACAACTGTCTAGTAAAACTGGAAATGCAAGAGGACTATGAATTGAATTTTTTGTCCATTGTATCTAATTCAGATTTGGTCTAACTAGTAAGACTAGTCAAAATTTACAAAAACTTTTTAGTGATTACTCATGAAATCTGATTGTTTTGTGATAAATACTTTTCAAGACCAGATAAAAACTGTTATAAGCAATAAAATAAATGAAACTCCGGAAGGGTAGCAAAATATTTTTTTTTTAAAAAAACCATTCTGGTTTAGCACTCACGGGGGGTCGTCACTGACTTTTGAGTCCTCTGCTTGGTCTTTTTGTCTGAAACAAAAACAGTTTTTTAATTAAACTCACACGGTTTTCAAGAAAATTTTGAAACTGTTTTCACTTTTTAGACATTTACGATAGAGTGAGCCAATAATTGGGTACAACAATAACGTCTTTTTGTTTGTTTGATGACTGATTAGGATGACTAATTGGTTGATTCCCAGTTTTGAAAAATAACAAAATTCAAGTGATTTTCCTAGTTCTTTTTCACGAGACGGCCAAGTACAATATGCTATTTTGAAAACACAGTTTTAAGAGATTATCATCAAGTGCCCCTCATCCAAATGCGGAGAAATGCATGATTGACAAAGAAATCCAATTTTTGGCGGACCCAGCTGAAGTTTTGTTTTAAGGTGCCATCAGCATCCATAAACACTTAAAGAGTAATCAACACCCATAAACACCCCCGTTTAAGGAGTGCTTGAAAAAGGCGAAAAAAACTTCCAGCACCTTCCCTCTCAAAGACGCATGTACACTTCAGTAACTATCTTGAGCAATTTAATCTGCCGGAATTTTAAAAAGAAAAGACGAAAAGACGCTGAAAGTCGCAAAGTAAAAGCCCGCTTTTTGATCCAGCTTAAAAGGCCGTGTGTGAAGTGTCTCCAGATAATGATCCAGTTGTTTATGAAAACATGTAGGGCAAAAAGTTTGACCTTAGAGTCTGTAGAACACAACTTACTCTTTCCCGTCTGATAACAAATCTGAAACAGGCAACAGTTTTCGCTCCGACCATGAATTGGGAAGAAATTTTGCTTACGGTAAATCCGAACTCAATCACAAATGCACGTTCCGCAAAGAGCATCTGCAGGATTCATGTTTTATAACAACAAACGTGATTTCGTCGTGATTCGACCGTTATTGAAATCTTTCTGATAACTTTTATTCAAAATTTTGTAATTGAGAAGAAATTAGAGACAAAAACACTCTTCGTTTTGATTCATAGGAAAATGAAGAAAAAATTTACCCTATCCCCCACACATGCAAAAAGGAAAAAACTCGAAAACCAAAACATCAAAAATATTAAAAACTTCTTGACTTGATTATTTTGTTAATTTTGCTCCCCACTTCTGTGTAGTTTTTGTTCCGACAATTTGAAAAATCGGGAGAAACTATTTATTCGGGTGTGTTTTATTTTTTTCTTTTCAGTTTTTATTTTCCATGCAAAATCAAATACCAAAAATTATTATTGAAATGGGTTGAGTGGTATACCAAATTGAAGCCCTTTCAGTCGTGATTTGAACGAAATTTGAAAGTTTTCAAATTTTTTCGCAGTGTCGAGAAAAACTGACACTACATTTTTGATTGTTAATTAAAATTTGGGCAAATAAAGCGAGCGATTAGGCTTAGAACAGCTTAGTTATGCTTAGTTAGTAAAGCCAGTCTTTAGCTCCATTTTGGGAATCGAAAACTTCAAAAAAATTCAACTATTTTCTGCAAAAAAAAAACAAAATTTAAAAACTTTTGAAACTTTTCAATTTTTTTTTAATTTTGTTTTTCTGGACATTTTTTCATAAAGTTTTTGCCAATATTATTATAACTGTCGAATATGCCTAAATTATAGTTTGCGTCAGATCTTTTTATAGCACCACGCAGAAAAATTACACTATTTTGAAAAAAATATAGTGCTTTAAAGAGTATGGTCGGATCATCCTGTGCTACTTGCACAGCAACCGGCTATCCTTGTTGTTCCGACCGTGTTTTACTTTTTTTACTTTTGTTTTCAACACAAAATCAGGTACCACAAAAAGTTTTCGGGCTGGTTTGAGTAATATATCATACTAAAGCCACTTCAGTCATGATTTGAACTACAATACAAAATTAGTTCTAGTGTCGAGAAAAACCGGATTGAAATGCTTGTTTTTTCGTCTTATTCCGAGCAAATAAACCAAGCGATCAGTCCTATTTCATTAGATTAAAAGCTTAGAATAGCTTAATTTAAAAGAAAAAAACTTTTTTTTGAATGTTTTAGCGCTTTTTTGGAATCAAAACTTTCAAAAACTGCAAAAAAACTGCACATTTTTTTAATTATTTTTTTGTTTTTCCAGTAGTTTTTTTTTCAAAAATTGTTTCTCATTTTTTCAAATTTAGTATGGA